TATATATATATATATATATATATATATATATATATATACCACCACACACACACACACACACACACACACACACCACACACACACACACACACACACACACACACACACACACACACACACACACACACACACACACACACACACACACACACACACACACACACACACACAATACAGTGGGTATGCTATAACGAACGGATCCTACTACTTAATATTCCTATAAATCTAATCTGTTTTACCTTATAAAATTGAGAATTTATAATCTAAATCTAAACTCCTACAACTAACATTATTTATTAATTTTTTTTTTTTTTTACTAATTTATTGTTTTTATTACAAGTATTAATGATACTCATTATTTCAGGGTTTAGATGATATTTATGCACTTTTACAATTTTACAATTTTATATTATATTTTTCAGTGTTAAGTGGTTGTATTTGGGGCCTGAACGGATTAATCCTATAACTAACTTAATGCTATAAACGAACAAGGTTCTAGAACCACTAGACTATATAGCATAAATTTTACTGTATGCTGATAACCACAAGAAAAGAAGAAAACATGAAGTTCCTAAGCGCTTTCGCTGTAATCTACATCTTCAGGGTGAGTACAGACTAAAGAAATACAAACCAAGGTGTATATATATTAGTAGCCCTCGGTTAATCAACTCAACAGCTCCAGAAGGTCGTTCAGCAAATCAAACGTCATAAATCAAACCATTGTTTCAATGGGTTTTTGGGTAATTGGTTCCAGCTCACCGAAAATTTCCTAAATTCAACAAAATGGTAGAAAGTTCACTTACTTTTGAGTGTATGTAGAAGGCTCCGGATGATGATGATGGGATTTAGAATGGGGGTGGAGGAGAAGGAAGAGAAGCGCATTGGGGTGGAAGAGAAGTCAACCCATGGTGCCATTTTCACCCATAAAATTTTAGCCTCTGGTTTATTCAAGATTATTTTCTTTAAATCAACGCTGCACTGCATTATATATTGTCAATATATAAAAATATATTTCAAAATGACCAATAATTTGCTTGGAAACACAGAAAAAGCATTTAGTTGAAGAGAGTCTCAAGCAAGATGTTACCTCCAGTGAAAACAGAAGAGACTGACTGTTTGCTGTGTTAAGAGGCTGATGCCGACATTAAATCTAGTACTTTACCTTCAATTTGTTCAATAATTGTTAAAATGACTAAAAAATTGAATATTAAACTTTTAAAATTATTGAATAGTATAAACTTCTTGATATTTACAAAAATAGGGAATTTAAGCCCCAGGAACCGATTAACGTATTGGCGACTGATACTAAAGCTGGTTGCCCGGTCAGTGCAAGCGAAACATGTTGAGGTCGGTTCGTGAAGAAGTTAAAAGTGAATTTTTTTTCAAGAATCGAATTGAAGATCCTTATGGAAGGCAGTTCGTTAATCAAAATTACGTTAACCGAGGTGTTAGATTAAACAGTCACTGTACAGAGAGGTTGAGACCAGGTCCACAATGGTCAGGTATAGTGGTAATGACCCACTAATCTTTAAATAGCACAACGGTTGGTGGTCAGGTCAGATGGTCAGGTGACCCGACCTTCTCACCTGATTACAAATCTTCTTAATTACAAAATTGTCCAGCTTGTACATGCCGTTACTCAAATTCATGTTGAATGCTTCTCATGTTTAATAAGACTAGATTCTATGATGTTCCTACTATCAATTGAATTACATGGTAATATTGAGAGGCATTATCCCAGTCAATGCAATGCTTGTTATCCCTCAAATGAACAAACAGAGCAT